TGTGTACACCTGGCACACAGATGTTCATCGCGGACACCCTGTCAAGAGCACATCTGCCAGTGGCCGAACCTCATCTAGAAGAGATCGAGACAGTTGGCATGGTGCAGCATCTGGCTGTGACAGAAAATCGGTTGAAAGACATAAGGCGTTTCACGTAGGAAGACCAAACTTTTGCAGCTTTGCGAAAGGTTATCCTCAATGTGTGGCCACAAACAAAGAAGCAGCTCCCGAAGGAATTAACACCCTACTTCAATTTTCGGGACGAACTCACGGCTTGTGACGGTCTGTTGTTCAAGGAAAGTCGAATCCTAATCCCTTCTTCTCTCCGAAAGGAGATGCTGGAGCACGTCCATCGCGCTCACCTGGGTGCAAATTACACTATTAATCGAGCAAGAGAACTGATGTTCTAGACAGGAATGACAGGTCAGATCAAGGATCATGTGTCTAACTGTGAGGCGTGCCGTTCACACGACATTCGGCAAAAGAAGGAACCAATGATGCTGCATGATGTTCCGGACCGACCGTGGCAAAAGGTAGCAGTGGAGCTATACTGGGACAACGGAAAGGATTACTTACTCACGGTTTACTACTATGGTGATTACTTTGAAATCGATTTACTCACCACCACGACCACGGAGGCAGTAATAAACAAACTCAGATGTCAATTCGCACGGCACGGGATACCGGAGGAGCTAGTCTCGGACAACGGTCCCCAGTTCAGCAGCAGGGCATTCCAGGTTTTCGCAACCAAATGGGAATTCGCACACCGGCAAACCAGTCCCTATCACAGTCAATCAAATGGGAAGGCAGAGTCGGCAGTGAAGCAAGCCAAGCGACTATTAGCGAAGGCTAGAGATACTCGGGAGGACCCATACCTCATGCTACTGGTGAGACTCAACACTCCTTCAACGGATATCGGCGTGAGCCCAGTGCAGCGCCTATACAGTCGACGGACCAGAACTGTGACACCTGCCTCCTCAACACTTCTGCGCCCTGTCACGCCACAACTTGAGAAAGTACAGAACAGTTTGAAAAGGCGAATGGCTACTCAGAAACGGTACTACGACAACGGCGCACGGGAATTACCTGAGCTGACAGTGGGGGAAGAAGTATGGGTTGAACCAATTCCCGATGGACAGGAGCGGTGGAGAAAAGGAGTCGTGGCTGCGAAAGTCGGTGAAAGGTCATACGAAGTAAATGTTGGAGGGAAGAAGCTGAGAAGAAACCGAGTACAGCTGAGGAGATGTCCGAGGCGACAGCATGAATCAGGGAGAGAGCGTTATACTGCGTGCGGCAATGAGGCGACATCGGCAGATCCAACAAAGAGGACGCGGAGTGGTAAAGTGTATGGACTATTTAGCAAAGTACAGCAGCAAGAACATGAAAAAGGGAGGATGTGATGGGAGTATACACTCGAACGAACGTGCGGTGCCAGCCCAGCAAGGAAGCCGTTAGGCTGCCGCAAGGAAAGGCGGCAGCTGATTGGACGTTCACACGTTTCTCGCATGCACGCTGATTGGCCAACAGTTGGACGCATTGGAGTGAGTTTGTTTGACTGAATCAAAGGAAAAATGTCATGCATTCACAAAGGTCGTTAATTATGGATCCAACTAGCTGTATATACCGATATGTTTCACTCGCCCTCTGCCTGCGTTTTCGCCTGGTCCTTTGTTTGCAGAATATACGTTTTGTCCCTGAAGGACCGACTTTTTACACGTCCG